GATGTGACGTTGTCCAGGACAGAGAAGAGCATGCCACAGCTCAAAGCCTCCTCCCCTGGCCGGGGGCTGCCCTCTGGGGGCAGGTAGAAGATGGCGTAGGCCTGAAACAGAGTGGTGACCAGCAGCTCCACGAGGCTGCACACCTGGGACTTGATCCCTGCACCTGCAGAGAAGCTCAGCTTTATGGACCAACAGACGCCTCGAAGGCTTTTTCTTTATCATGTGTCAGAGCGCGCTTTACAACAGAAGCAAACCAGAGACAATACCGTGCTGCGGCTGGTTCAGCAGCTGATGTATGGATGATTTCCGGGCCAACAAGAAGTCAGCCAGAGCCTGGCGAGGAGAGCTGTCTTCAAGCAGCATGATGGACACCAAGGCTTCAGCGATGGCCTGGTCCGACACCGCACGGCCCCTCAGCAGAGCCCTGCTGTCCAGCAGGATGGCTGCCCTGCAAGAAGACGCTTATCTCAGCTACTACACGTGGACTATTTTAGTTACGCGCCACGGCGTTTCGATTTCACGTTTCCGTTAAGCGGGAATTGTGACACAAACCTGAAGTGTTCGGTGGTGGCAACCTGTCGGACGAGGATGGGGAACCGGACGAGGACGGAGCTGTAGAGGCCTGCTGCGGTGGCCTCCAGCTGCAGCAGGTGGTGCAGGTGGCAGCACAGCAGGTAGAGCTGCGTGGCTTGGAGGTAGTGAGATGCCTCCATGGCGCTCCAAACCCGCTCCGGGATCTCCAACAGCAGCTTGATCTGGGAGGCCGTGGTGTAGAACTTCAGCTGCCACGGAGTCTGGCTCTGCAACAGGACACACAGACGCGTCTCCATGACAACGGCATCAACTTCAAACAGCTGCTGCAGAAGCAGTTTGTGCACACGTGAAAGTGTTCGTTCTCTTCACTCAGCAGAAGCTTCAGAAGGAAACACGTGCAGGTTACACGTCATTTCAACCCAGTGTTGAACTTTGATGGTTTCAGAGTGAAATAAAATCTGTTGTAGTAAAGACTAAAGAACAGCTTCGTCCTGTCAGAGCTCTTAATGCAAACTAACAGTGTGCACAGACTTCCCCAACACGTCCACCCTGCTGCTGATCATCTATGTGCAACATCTCAGTCTCTCCATGTTCTGTGCAATTATTCTGTTTCAGTGTTTCCTACATGTACACCATGTATATAGTCCCACTCACATATGTATACATGTACACTGCTTTTTCTTTTATTCTATTTATTTATTTTCCACCTTCGTTGTATATCGGTTTCTCTTCTTCTTACTTTAGCACCTCTGTGGTCCAGCTAACTATTCGCTGTGCAGGAAACTGCACAATGACAATAAAAAGCTCTGAAGCCTTTTCTCCAGAGCAGCTGCGTCTCCGTCTGTATGGTAACGACATCGCAGTACAGTGGACAGTGAGAACAGCCGGGAAGGTCATTGGAGCCGCTCTTCCCTCCATCACAGACACTTATCACACCAAAGCCACCAGCATCGTGGAGGACCCCACACACCCCACAGACGCACGATCTGATATCCTCGTGTTGGTGTTGTTCCCAGATCATCATACTAAAGGTTGTTCCAGGATCAACATTGCAAGTGACCAATCAGAATGTTGTGA